GAGAGAGAGAGAGAGAGAGAGAGAGAGAGAGAGAGAGAGGAGAGAGAGAGAGAGAGAGAGAGGAGAGAGAGAGAGAGAGAGAGAGAGAGAGACGTTACGCACACACACACACATACACACACACAGACACACAGAGAGAGAGAGAGAGAGAGAGAGAGAGAGAGAGAGAGAGAGAGAGAGAGAGAGAGGAGAGAGAGAGAGAGAGAGAGAGAGAGAGAAGAGAGAGAGCGTGACAGAGGAAGAGAGAGAGAGAGAGAGAGAGAGAGAGAGAGAGAGAGAGAGAGAGAGAGAGGAGAGAGAGAGAGAGAAGAGAGAGAGAGAGAGAGAGAGAGAGAGAGAGAGAGAGAGAGAGAGAGAGAGAGAGAGAGAGAGAGGAGAGGAGAGAGAGAGGAGAGAGAGAGAGGAGAGAGAGAGAGAGAGAGAAGAGAGAGAGAGAGAGAGAGGAGAGAGAGAGAGAGAGAGAGAGAGAGAGAGAGAGAGAGAGAGAGAGAGAGAGAGAGAGAGAGAGAGAGAGAGAGAGAGAGACTTTGAGATAGAGATAGAGAGAGAATACTGATATAAAATAAACATTGTATTGTGTATAGTCTCTTCGAGAAATAAGATTTAAGGTATAGAATAAAACATATGAGATAATGCATTAGTCTACCAGGAAATACGATTTTCTCTAAGAGAAGCTAAAAAGAAAACGTAATATCTATGTGGCATTTGTGGAGTCGTGGACACGTCTCAAGTGTATCAACGAATACAAAGCAAAAGGTGCCCTTATTTTTTATAGTAAGTTTAACTATTTCATAATTGTCACGTTTATCTGTGCATGGTAGGAGAAGCTTAATCAATATTTGCATGTACTGATAGGATTGCCAAGTTGTATCACTCTTTATTTTATGATTAATATATGATTCCTAATAGAGGCTTTCATGTGAATAATGATTTGTATTTTAAATTTACCTGAAGAGGTAGGTAAAAGTAAGCTAATGACACGAAAGAACGATACTGAATAGACATTAAAAGTAACATAGTTGTGCAGCTAATATATCTTGAATTACTGTTTATTAAGGTTTTAATTTTTGGGTTTGGATGGATATTTGTTACACTAATTAATAGAGCATCCCAAGCACTGTATTCAGAGACTTCATATATGCTATCATATTGGTAGTTAAAAAAAATTATGTATTAGATAAGCACTAACCACTTGTTGGTTGCATAGTATTTCAAGAAGCCAATTGAAATGAAGTTAGATAACAGATACTTCAGTAAAGTGCATCATATCTGTAATAACTTGCTGTGACCCTGATGTCAGATGCAGCTTCAGAATTTTTTTGTCTCTTTGAATTGTAAAGCTTTTGTAAACCTCATAGGTGGTTTGTCATAAGGAAAGAAATCAGTTAAATCAGTTTATGTTGTTGAGGTTTGTTAGTTCCTTTTCTAGACCACTTGTGTTTGGAGACTGTGGTTATTATTTGATAGGCCACTACTTGGTATGTTATTTCTATTACTGAATGATATATATTGTGTCATAAATGAAAAGTGTCTTAGAATTTGATCTACTGATACACAAAAAGTATGTATGCCTTCTCTAAAAAGCATTTTATCCCAAGTAAACTGAATGATAATGACATCATCTAGTATGTTACTAATATTGCATATCAGCCTGACTTTCCACTCCAGCTAATATCACATGATTCTGGCCAAGAGAATGTATGCATGGTTTTTGTTCACAGGTGATTCATTCCACTTTCAGATAAGATTGTGATAGTAGACACATCATAAGTACCGCTGAGTTCTGACTTGTTGGTAAGCATTTGAGGAAATTTCTTTTCACTCCGAGCTTCAGGTAGGAGTACAATGCAAATTTTAGTATGAGTATTAATGAATTTCCAAATATCTTTGTAGATTTAACTGCCAAGAACACTCACCTTAGCAGGGATTAAGCCATTCATATCATGAATTGGTATTCATTTTATATATTAGTAAATAATCTTAGACTTTTTTGTTTATGAGTAGAATAGTTTTTTGTCTGGCAAGTTCTATAACTCCTTTGTTATTCTTTGCTCCCATTTAATGCTGCAAACTCTTCTCAGACAGTTCATTTCTAATACCTTTAGCTTTGATCTCTCTTTTTGTTTTATGATCCAGCATTCTGATCCATATATAACTGTGGAGATCATCACTGATGAGAGTAACCTCGTCTTCAACTACCGGGAGATATTTCTGTCCTTCCATATCTTAAGGAACTTTCTGAGTCCATCATTTCCTTATTCGTATATATTTAAAGATTACCATCCTTCCAGTATTTATGGCTTTTGTAATTTACATGTTTTGCATAGATGTATTAATCACTTCAGTACCTCTGGACCCCGTAGGCCTACTACCAATATTTCCTTACTCACTCCATCCCTTCCTGCAGCCTCATCTTTACACATTTACAGATGGCTTTCTCTTATCTCTTCTTCAAGTACATCTGGTGTATATTCATCGCTTGTTTGTCTCTGCATGTATGGAAAATTCTGGATTTTGAATTCATCTTCATAGTCATTGTAATGTTTCAAAATAGCTTTTCCATGCTTTCTTCACTTCTTGCTCTTCTGAAACCTCTTCCACTGAATATTTTATCATAGACTAATCTAGTGTTCACTTTCCTAAAACTAATATTACAGTCATTCCATTTTGCTTCTATCCATCTTTAGACTTTCTTCAGTAGTCTTTATTCTTTTCTGTCGGATTTCTGTTCTTTATTTTCTTAGCCTTCCATCTCTCATATCACACAGTCAACACTTCTGTTATCCATGGTTGCTGTATTTAACTTTTTCTTCCAGGAATTTGCTCTGCTGCCCCTTCAGATAATTCCCTCCTTGCATCCATCTATCCTATGTTGAATATAACTTTTACATATACTAGTACCGTCTTGGGATCACTGCCAAAATTTATTATGTCTAATAAATGCTTCATGCCATGAATTTATGTCATTCAAGCAGTACTCTTTTTTCATGTGACAAATTGTTCAGTAGTCAGATGATGTTTCGTTTATGTTGTAATGTTTGTATTGCGAAAAGAACATAATTTCAAAGCAAAATTCCTTTCTAGTTGCAGTTAAGATGGCTACACGATGGGGCATTGCGAGCGCAGGAAAGATCTCCTCAGACTTTGTAACTGCCATGAAAGCCCAGAAGGATGACCATCGTGTGGTTGCTGTCGGGGCTCGATCGCTGGCTGATGCCCAGGCTTTTGCTAAGAAGTATGGGGCTGAAAAGTCTTATGGATCCTATGAGGAGTTATCTAAGGACCCTGATGTAGGTCAGTTCTATGTTGAGATTCTTGTGATTGGCTTTTTAGTGACTGAAAATCTCTCTCTTTTTTTCACAGGCTTATTTTTTTCCTTTTATGTAATTTAACTTATACTGATCTGCCACAGAGATTGTGTACATTGGCACAATTCACCCATTCCACTTGCCAGTGGCTAAACTGATGATCAATGCTGGAAAGCACGTTTTGTGCGAAAAGCCCCTGTGCATGAATGTGAAGGAGACGAAGGAGCTAGTTGTCCTTGCTCGCCAGAAGAAAGTCTTCCTGATGGAGGTGTGCATTCAGTGAACATGTTTAGCTTACATATTTGAAGATTGAAATACTAGCCACTGTTTACTTTTCTTAAAGAGTAATTTTACATTAGTTTATATTTTTTCCTTCTGTGGTCTAGTTTGAAGTTATTGTTTGAAAAATGTAGACCACAAAGGCTGTTATGTCTGTAAAGATAATTAGAAAATCCCTTATGAAATGAAATTGACATTTTGTATCTGTTTTAAGATAAATTGTAATGATGTGTCACTTAAATTTATTCTATAGGCTGTATGGTCTAGATTTTTCCCAGTGTACAAGGAAATGATGAAGAGAATAAATGCTGGTGAAATCGGAGAAGTCGTACAGGTATTCTGTTCTTTTGGCCATCCTTTAGAGAATATTCAACGTGCTGTGTAAGTACTGGCTGGTTATAGAATTTTCCTTTTTTTGTTTTGTTTTGAGAGCTGTGTTTTTGTCTTTGGAGTTGCACTATATTTTTATTATCTCTACCTGTATTAGAAATATTGGATTAGTGTGAACCAGAAATGTACTTAAAAAGTTACACCTTCTATTGAGTTGTAGATCTTGAGAACATTTATGAAATGATATTTTACTTTTATTCCAGGAAAAAAGAGCTCGGAGGTGGGGCTACATTGGATCTAGGTGTTTACTGCGTCCAGTTTGCTTCACTAGTCATGGGGGGTGAGAGGCCAGAGAAGGTGGTGGCTGCTGGTCATCAGAATGAAGAAGTGAGAAACTTTTATATGTATTTTTATTTCCTCATTAATAGTATAGTTATTTGTGCTATTGATATAATTCGAAAGTCTATTTTGTATTTATAATATTCTCTTATAATATTGAATAATTTGCACCCAAGCAGTTTCATAGAAAACGATAATGGTAGTTTAATAAGTTAGATATATAAACTAACAAGAGAAGAAATTGATTTTATTTCATGTGATTATTTTATTTATTCTTTATCATTATAGTAATTTAAACTTTATGGCCCCAATAGATTGATTTTTTGGGATATGTAGCCAAGGTGACATGTTATTTAATATATACATCATATTACATGTAGTAATACAGGCAAATATCTGTGTTCATGAAAAATATTGGATTGTAAATAAGACTTTGGTTTTGGTGACCAAGAAGATATAAATTATTATTCTTTTATAGGAGTTGTAAAATATTTGTAAGCCATGTCTTGTTTTATCCACTCTCAAATTTAAATTATTTCTTATTCTTGCCTTGCAAGTTCTCAGAAACTTTTGTTTCACAGGGTGTTGATGCAACAACAAGTGCCACTCTGATCTACTCCAAGGGAAGGGTTGCTACTCTGAACTGCTCAATTCGGTGCGAATTACCGTGTGAAGGCATTGTCATTGGCACAAAGGGTACTCTGAAGGTATGCCATGAAATAAAGTATTTATTGGTAATATTTATTAGTCACCCAACTTAAAGGAAAGTATGTATATTGTTTTAAGACATGACTGATAATATTGATTTTATATTTTCAAATTAGCTGCATAAATAGTTACATGTTAGACACAGTGAGACATTATATACAGGGTACATTGAAGGAATCTTACATCCAGTGGTTAACTTATTTTATATCCCACTTTTTGCATTTAAGTAGGTTTGAAAAAACTCCTTAAAATATGTTATTATAATCAATTATTATTGATTCAGTTTTATCATTCTGTCTAACTATTGCATACCAGGTGTCGCATCCAGTCTGGAGTCCTGTACACATGGAAACTCCATCAGGAAGTTTTGATTCACCATTACCAGACTTGGGACATAGTTATAACTTCAAACACGGGCAAGGGATGATGTATGAAGCTGCAGAAGTGAGGCGATGCTTGCAGGAAGGTGCGTATTTCTGGCTTATATTATATCTGATTTAACTGGCCCTGGAAATGTGTTTATTTATTTACCTCTTTTTTAGAAGTATACACATATGTATTAACATTAGTGGATGAAAATATAAGTAATTCCATTTGCTACCTTGTTTATATATGTATGTAGAGAATTTTCAAGGTTGATTAAAACGAAAAAAAATTCCCAAAGGCTTGCTTGAGAGTCCCACCATCACCCTGGAAGAAACTCTGATATTGGCTGAAATCATGGAGTCAATGAGGAAGCAAGTTGGAGTCGCATACCCACAGGATGCATAATCAGGAAGAAGCAGAGTGTCGTAAGGTTATTTTATGGATGTTTTGGGACAAATTTTAAAGGAGTTTGTCATCTAAATGACTTAGTTGTCATATTTTTTTATGGAGACAAAATTTATTTTAAATTTTATTCAGTTTTCTTGGAAGGAATATGATTTTCTGTAGTACATGTATTATTATACTTTTGCTTCAATGTAGTAAAGTCTATTTTATGTAAACATTTAATTATGTAAATTATCGTAACACCATTCTGTGCCTTTCTTTGTAAATGGTGAGATAATACATGCAGTTGAAAATGAATAAATGTGTTTCTGAACTATCACTCCTATAATGGAAAAATATTTATTATTATCAAAAATATTTCCTGTAGAAATCATCTTTCTCATGACCAATACAGGGACTCCTTATTGGATACTAGTCCATTCTTCAACTTTAACAAATGAATAGTAAAGACCATTTTCCAAATAGTCTTAGCTTGCATACACTCACATGCACACACACACACACAAACACACACACGCACACACACACGCACACACACACGCACACACACACACACACACACACACACACACACACACACACACACACACACACACACCACACACACACACACACACACACACACACACACACACACATGCACACACACATACATGTATGTATATATATGTGTAAATATGTATATATGTATAAGTATATATATGTATTTAATGTGTATATAATATATATGTATATATTATATATATATATATATATTTATATATATATATATATATATATATATATATTATATATATATATATATATATATATATATATATATATATTATATATATATATATATATATATATATATATATATATATATATATATATATATATATATATATATATATATATATATATATACATATGTATATGATATATATGCATATAGATAGATAGATGGATAGATAGGTATGAATACATATAGACATATATATTTATAGTATACATTTATGTGTCTATATATTTTTTCATATATTAATATTCTTTCTTCAGTAAATCTAGTTTAGTTTAGTTTAGTCCTTTATTTACCACCCTGGCTAACTGCACAGGCGTGGGCAAGCTGTGGTACATTTGATACATGGTCAAAGCATTATATAATAGTATTACAGTGTAAATCTAGATCATAAAATTATTACTGTCTAAAATATATCATTTAAAGGAAAAGAACGATCAGTAATTTATCTACTCATCTATCAAGCCGGCATACGGCTTGGGCGTGGAAAGGCAATGTATCATTTGATATGTGGTCATGTGATACTACATTCCAAATTTAGGATATAACATAATTATATCTTCCAAGACATCAGATGATATGAAGTAGTTACATAGTTCTCCATACCTCATGCTAGGTGGTCTGAAAGGCTGTATTACATGGCACTCTGAGATATAATGTACAAGTGTTCGCTTATATTCTTCATTGCATAATTTACACTTCGTTTCTTCAACATTACAGGCTGTACTGACCTGCCAGTACAATCTATATCCTAGCCTGATTCTTGCGGTCACAATATCACACTGTCTTGTTCTTGTTTTGTATAAACCATAGATGAAAACATCTTGCATAAACCTGTCATAGTGCTTTATGCTACAGCTTTCAGGCCGTTGAGAATTAATCGTCAGACAGGTCCTCTTTGAAGGAAGTTTTAATTATGTGTGAAATCCTAGCAAGAGGTACTCCAAGATCTATATCCACACTTTGCTTGTCACATGCTGATTT